GCGCGCATGCGGGAGAGAGAGAGAGAGAGAGAGAGAGAGAGAGAGAGAGAGAGAGAGAGAGAGAGAGAGAGAGAATGTCGGTGACAAAAATCGGAGGGGACACTGACCACCTGGGGTGTGAGAACACGTGGCACACATGGGGCCCGGGTCGACGCCGTCAAATTTTAGTTGCTCGCCCTAAGCCAGCGACCAAAATTTGAACACGCATTCAGGAGCGGCTTGGCATTGGTGTCAGCCCGTTTTTCTTGCTCTTTTGGACCGTTGGCGGCTCCGGGTGGTGCTGGGAACATCTAAGGACCGTCTGGAATACTTCTGCGGCGTGGAATTTGTTTTCCATAGGGGACGAGGTGCGTTCGGGTGTTGTGGGCCCGCGAGGGACTTGAGGGGTCGAGCACGATGGGGCGGGGCCAGGCACGAGTGTTTGACGCCGTCCGGATGACGACAATAACAAGGCGCAGAGAAAGAGCTACGTCTACAAGTACATCCATGTGGGCCATGATCTCGGTGAGAAGTTATGGGAAACCGCATGTTGAAGTGCCTGTTCTGCGGCCATGAGTTCCAAGGGATCCAGTACATTGTGGTGCACCATTTTGGGCATGGGAAGGGGTGTTCGTAAGTGACGGACGAGGCACTGGGGGACATACACTACAACACCGACTACAAGCTAGAGGGAAAGATCCTTGAGCGGATGCTTCGGTTCGAGGAGCTTCACGGTCCGGCGCCTGCGATGGATCCACGTCGGGACAAGGGAGAGGCGGGAGAGGCGAGGGACGAGGACGAGGTGGTCGATGTTGACGACATCGTGGACGAGGGGACACGGGTTGGGCCTTCAGGGAAGGACCAAGCATGGGGGAAGGGCATTGTTCAGGAGGCAAGGGGACAGCAAGACCATTACTTTGTGGGTGCTCACGTGTTGGCTCGCACACAAGCGCACAACGATGCGCAAGAGGCGACAGTTGCTGTGGGGAAGAGAAAAGAGAGAGACGGCAGGGGGAGGCAGGAAGTGCAAAAAAGACTGAGGTAGAACAACATCAAAGAGTTGTACTGGTCGCAGTGGCAGATGAAGTTCAACAAGAAATTCTTGAGGTTTGTTTACAGTCAGCGCCTGACATTCAATGTCTTCTGGAGCGAGCCATGAAAGGACCTCGTGTGACATTTCAAGGAATTGCCGTGGCCTTTGAAGGTGTTGTGGCCTTCACACAATGAGATCACCGCCATTGAGATAGTTGTGCGCACAATGGACGATGTAGCGGATGATATCAAGGAGGTTAGGGATCCTTTCTATGTTACGGGGCCCACCATTATGTCGGACGGTAGGAAGTCGTGCTGTACTAGACCCAGCGTGAACTTCCTTGCCATAGGGTCGTGCGGGGTCGTGCTGGTCAGGACGATGAATAGGGAGGGCGAGAAATGTTGGGCGCCTGATGTTTCGGCGCGGTGGATAAAGGTCTTCGGCGATCTTCCTCCGAGGTGGGTTAACGCCATCTTCACCAACTCTGCCTCAGCATATGTTGCCACGACAAACCTGCTTCAGGGACCGGACCAGAGGCACGAGCACCGATGGATCACGTGCACGTCTGCAACATATTATTGTCAGACATTGGCACGTCGAGCACGTGGTCCAAGGACATCATGTCTGCCCCGTTGCTTATTTCTTGTTTAGTACACCCCGTCCTGTTGCTTATCCCTTGTTCAGTATACCAGTTGCATGACAAACTCTCTATCTAAGTACGAGTTCATTTGCACTTTGCCAACATCAGTCGGTCTCAACTTCACCGTTTACCAACGCGCTGCGGATGACAAGATGGAATGTTTGATACCTGGTTGCGCGACGTCCTCTCTTCTGATGCAGGATGTCGTCTGGAAGGTTAGCTACAGGGTGAGGTCGTTGTCAGAGGTCTTAGCTACAGGGAAGAAATGCGAAGTGAAATTGAAGCCGCAGCTGAGAGCAGTTATGGTTGTGAGTGGATTGGCAACATTGCGCTTCCAAGATATCACGACCTTCCGCTCCCCGAAGACGTTCGCGCTCGGGTTCAGGCATCTCTTTCGCCCCCGCCCTACCCCGCTTTTCAGTACATTAGGGCGTAGGTATTTCGTCGTCTCCTCTCGGCTCCATGTACTTTACGACGTGGGTTTTTGAATGATTTCTGGATACCCTACATGTATCTTACAACGTGTCCTTCATCGATTTGTGTACTTTGCAATGTGGGATTGAATGATGTTTGAAAACACTTCGTGTGGTGTACAACGTTCTTCGGAACAACCATTATTGTCCAACTGTTTCGAGTTCCTGGTGTGGATGAATATGCCCGTGTCATGAAAGTGTGTATGTACTTTTCAACGTGCGATTAAATGATTTAGGGTACTTGCAAGTGTTTCCATCTCACCGACCTTAACACTCGTGACCTTGGAAGTGTTTCAATCTCTCATCTTCATGTCATGGGATGCATGGATGTTTTCGAAGAAAAAATGCTCATCTCAAGAAGGGGATTGATGTTTGCGAAGAAAAGACCTGGTTGTTATGTTTGATGCATGGCCTTGCAAATGGGTAAACACAGTTCTACAAAATGACATTTTCACCCGGGAATATTCACATGTAATACTTTTCGGCCTTCAAAGAATCCTCCGGGTGTGCATGGATGCTTGTAATGGCAATAATTGATGTTGTGTTTGGTGATCAACCATACTAATGACAAGTCAACGTCCATATTAAATCACCATGCTGATGATGTGCACCCCTGACTCTCCATCTAAGTGCGAGTTGACTCGCACTAAACGTTATCCAATAAGAAGGCCCACCACAGACCCACCAACCTAGCCCCAGTTGCTATTGAGCATCAATGACCGCCCAACAACTGATAACCTGCGGGAACTGGAGTTCAATTCTGCCTGTGGAGTGCAAAACTCTGCTCGAAACAAATCCAGGTCAACAGGAAGGCCCACCACAGAACCACCAACCTAGCCCCAGTTGCGATTGAGCATCAATGACTGCCCAACAACTGATAACCTGCGCGAATTGGAGTTCA